AATTTTAGATGTTTCATTTCATAAATAAAAACAAATATGAATGGTTGGGGAGCACAATTTTTATTGCGTTTATTTATTTTGGGGAAAGCATGCATGCTATGGCATGCATGTGTGGACAACCTGTATGAGTCAATTCTCTCCTCCACCCTGTGGATTCTGAGGATAGAGCTGATTGTCAGCCTTGGCAGCAAGTGCCTTTACCTGATAGGGCATCCCTCCAGCCTCTCACTATTTTAGATGTGTGATTAGAGGGGACATCTTTGGTGGCTTAATATCTGAGTAGAAACCTAAATAATGACAGGAAGAAAATTATGTACAAGGATCTAGGAAAAGAGACATTCTTGAAGAGAATCAGTCTCCACATAAGGAGACAATTTCTTATGAAGAGACTGCAGTGGAGTAAACAGTGGCCAAGTGTAGGGTATGAGTTTGGAGTAGTCAAGGGACCAGATACGAGTGTATTAATTAGCTGGTGCCTGTTGTGGAATATTAGTTTGAGATGTGTTACATTCATTTATACTGTGGAACATTTGTTTAATGATGCAAAAATGTGTTGCATTCTTTTATGTTGCATTTGTTTAACTCTGTAAAGCTGTGCTACTTTTCCTGCCTAAAACACCTGATTGGTCTAATAAAGAGCTGAACGGTCAATAGCTAGGCAGGAGAAAGGATTGGCAGGGCCAGCAGGCAGAGAGAATAAATAGAACTCTAGGCTCAAGACGAGGACAAGGAAGGAGCGAGGAAAGGGGAAGGAGAAGAAGACACCAGGGACCAGCCACCTAGTCACACAGACAGCCACACAGTAAGAAGGAAAGAAAGATATATAGAATAAAGAAAAGTAAAAGCTCAGAGGCAAAACCTAGTTAAAGAGAAATGGGATAATTTAACTTAGAAAAGCTGACTAGAAACAAGCCAAGTTAAGGCCAGGCATTCATAAGTAAGAATAAGTCTCCATGTATTTATTTGGGAGCTGAGTGGTGGACTTCTAAAGAGTTAAACAAAACAAAACAAAACAAAAACTACAGGTGCCACATGAAAAACAAGCCCCAACTTGGATGGGCAACAGCTTTCAACAATAATCATGTTATCTTTTCTGAGCATGTCTAAGGGTCAGTTCAGGGACACAGCTGGGTGGCTCCTGTCCAGGGTCTTAGATGGTAGCAAGCTATCATCCAGGGCTGTAGTCATCTGTAGCCCTGAGATTAACTTCCAGAATGGCTCACTCACATGGTTTGGGAAGAAAGCTGGAGTTTCTCTCCCTATGGACCATTCCATAGGGTCCTAAGTATCATTATATCATAGAACCCCATTTCCCACTAACTGAGTGGTACAAGGGGGGTCAGAAGAAGGGGCATGATGTCTTCTATAGTGAAGCCTTGGAAGTGACACACCATCACTTCCGCCATATTCTACAGGTTACATGGACCAACATCACATCTGGTATGAAGATCAGGATCATTGGGGCAGGTCTCGGGATTGGCTGCCACAACCAACCAACCTTCCGAGGCCACAGGAAAGACTCCATTTACCCATCCTTTTTGTTTTGAGACAAGATACCATATCCTTCTGATCTTCCTGCCGCCACCTCCTGAGGTCTGAGGTTAGAGTCATGTGCGACCATATCTGGCTTTTGCCGTACTGGGGTTCAAACTCAGACTCCATGATGGTGGGCAATAGTCTACCACCTGAGCCCCACCCACAACCCCCATTTATTCTAAATGGGTAAATGGTCCCTAGCAGCTTGAAAGACTCGTGGTCTCGACTCTCTTCTGAGTGCTGTAGGGCTAGTGCTAGAGGCTATTGTGGAGGCGGGGATAGATGAAGAGGTGCTCTGGAGGTCCAGCTGAGGCGCAGTAGAGGACCAGGGTGCCAGCAGTAGCTAACAGGCTATGAATCTGAAATAGAGCTAAAAGAACTTCTGCAAGCTTGGGAAGTTTTTTCTTCTTTCCTTCTGAGTGATCTTGTCTGCTTCTTTGGTTTAAGTGAGCGTTTCCGTCAACATCATAGTTAAAGGGGCAGTGCCTTCTGCACCGGATTCTTGGCTGGAACTGTCTGACCCATTCTGAAGCTCTGCCTGAGACAAGTGATGATGATTTGCCTGGATGCTGTGGAAATCCAAGCTTGATCTATTGTCTTGTATGACAGAAATAACCTTACTAACACCATCTGAATTCAAACTCAACCCTCAGCAGATTCAAATGCAAGCCATTATTTCCAGCGACACATCTGTCCCTCCTTTGCAGTGCTCTGGATCAGTGGCTGGGACACCAAGGACCCTAACAGGACGTCTGGGAGTTGTCTGATATCCACGCGTTCTTCTTACCCTTATCCTTCACATCCATCAATCACCAAGTCTTGCTAGTTTCTCCTACATATTCCTGAGAGCTGACTTCCTCTGTGTCAAATGCTCTAGTCCATGCCTAACAGAACTGGATGGATCTTGTGCACAAACTATGTAAAATCCAAAGTGTATCATGTTCCTCCATCATTTTCGGTGGTTGTCTGCCACTGAAGGCATGAAGCCCGAGTTCCTCATTAGTGTGGCTTATGTTCTAATGTGGTCTAGTGTGCTGTAGACTCTGAGCCTGCCCCTCTCAAACACAGTTCTCATCCTTCTATTTCAGACACTTTACATCCATCAACCCTTGCTTCACCTCCTCTCTAGCTGCCCTGCTTTGTCCTTTTTGAGAAAGTCTAGCCCAAACTTGGCCTGGAACTGGATATGTAGTACAGGATAGCTTGAAACACAGAATCCTCCTGCCTCTGCTACCTAATCACTGGGATCACCGATGTCCAAAACCATACCCATCCATCCCAGCAATCTTGAGTTAGCAGAAGTGTTGTGGGATATTTGTACACTCTGTGAAGATATATTGCTGGGATTGGTTTAATAAAGTCGAACAGCCAATAGCAAGGCAGGAGGTATAGGCAGGACTTCCGAGCAGAGAGGGGAAGTAGGAGACTATAGAGGTGCAGAGGAGAAACCAACAAAAACTGGAAGGAGTAGACTTACAGAATGAAAGAAAGGTAAAAAGCCACATGGTAAAACAGAGATTCATAAAAGCAGGTTAAGTTATAAGAGCTAGTGGGTCCCAACACTTGGGAGGCAGAGCCAGGCGGATCTCCGTGAGTTCGAGGCCAGCCTGGACTACAGAGTGAGTTCCAGGAAAGGCGCAAAGCTACACAGAGAAACCCTGTCTCGGGAAAGAAAAAAAAAGAGCTAGTGGGATAAGGCCGAGCTTTCATAACTAATAAGTCTCCGTCCATGTCGTTATTTGTGAGCTGGCGGCCAACAAAAAAGCTTTCTGCACCAAAGAGCCAGCAAGACCCTTACAAACTTCCTATACAAGCTGCTCCACTGTAGGACGCCACACCACAGCTAACACATCTCCGGCACATCAAAGGTCCTCTACAGCCCCCACTCTTCTCACCTTGACCGCCCAGCACCAACTGTTCTTCAAACTGAGCACGTTGCAGTCACCTCCTCCAGGAAGCCTTGCCTATGCTCTCATTTGTGTCCTCAAAATACCATGAAAACTCAATTTGTTTCTGTCTCCGTCTTTATACTATTATCAAGTTTGGGGTCTAGGATTATGTCATCCTTTCTTTACCTCTGTTCAGGACCTTTTACAACCTACAGCATCTTAGATCTCTCTCTCTCTCTCTCTCTCTCTCTCTCTCTCTCTCTCTCTGTGTGTGTGTGTGGTGTGTGTGTGTGTGTGTGTGTGTGTGTGTGTGTGTGTGTGTGTAATGTTGGAGGAAATAAATGTGTGTAGTACCTCATACTTGAACATGAGATAAATGACTGTGTTACTAATTTGTACATTGACTAGAATTTGGTGTTTTTGATTTGGTGTTTTCCCTGCTATATCAGAGCACAGACCTTCCATTCAAAAAAAGAAAATTAACAGCCTCGTGAAGGTCTTCAGGAGGATCTCAGAAGGTGTTATCAAGGAGATCACAGCTCCAAGAGTGCTAATCCCTTAAAGACCCTGGGACAAGATGAAGTGGGCGGCTGTCACCCCTGTCCGGCTTGGTCTAATGTGTATCCTTGTGCTATAGCTTGTAACAAAAAAGAGTTCAAAAAGTTCAGATGAGAGAAGAGGCTTAGACGGGGAGTCCGCCCAAGGTGCTGACGGTGGGGTCAGAAGCAGATGTTTTCTCTCCTTTCTAAGACTGCTGTATCCGGACACACGCCAGAGCAGGCAGAGGTTAGTGCAGAAAGCCTTCTCTGAGTGTCTCTTTTTATGTCCTTTAAGAAACATGTCTGTGCAAAATCATGGTAGTGTCAGGAGCCAGCGGGGGTGGGGGGATGGGGGAGGAGTGGGGGGGGTGTCAACACTCTTAGAGGCTCCTGGCAAAGGTATGACCCTATGCAAGATTTATCTGGCTTTACCTTTCTGTTGTACCCTTGAAGGAACTGGAAAATCCTTCCAGGATTTCATCATTGTTCTGGAAATCCTTAAGCAGGTTTGTAAAGTTTAGTGACGTCACTTGGCATTAGCCTGCCTGTGTACTGAAACAGAATTCCTCTGACCACCATGAAGGCGCTGTTTTCTATCCGCAGACTCTTGGATACGGGAAGGGAGCCTTGGTCAATAACTAATCCTCCTCAGCACGGGCTGTAAGGGCAGTGTCTGCTGTTTCAATCCTTAAGAAGGAATCTATTCCACTTTCTCCTCTGGTAAATAAATATAAAGACTGACCTGCTGCAGAAAACCACAGGAAGAGGTCATCTGTGGAAAGCAACCTGCCATAACAATATTTTTGCAGATCCTGTCAGTTCCCCTGACACCCACCATGTGGACATGGAAGGACAGATTCCATGAATGTATCACCAATATGATGACTGAAAACAGTAATCTTTAATATGTTAAGGTTGTAGACCCCTCTGAAATCGTGATAAAAATTGAATTTCTCTGTGTGTCGAGAGTGGTGCAAAGACTCCACAGATCCATATGGGGTCTGCAGCTTTTACCTTCCGATATGTTTTCCTAAAGTGCCTCCGTAACAGACTACAGGAACACACTGGGCTCAGCTCAGCGGGAAAAGAGAATCAGGCCTGACCAGCGTTATCGTCTCTCTTCGCACAAGAGTGAGCAGGCTCAGGTAGACCCTGACCCCAACCACTTCCAGGTTTTAAGTATGTTTTAGTCTATTAATGTATTCTGTGGGTTATTCTTTAATTGTCTCCCCATGAGAACGTAAGTTCCCCTGGACAGCAGAGGTTTGACTTTCATGTACCTTGGTGCCCTTAAAACTGTGTGGAAGAGAAATACTCAGCAAATTGTATCAAATGAATAAGTATGACCCTCTTTTTCTCTTGGGTAAATCATATACATTTTTTTTTATTTTTGAGATTATAATACAACTACATTTCTATCTTCCCTTTCCTCCCTCCAAACTCTACCACCGCCCCCCCACCACACACACACACTTTCAAATTCCTGATCTTTTCCCCCATTATCACATGTATATATAGAGACATATATATATATATGCACACATAGTATATGAATGTATATTTTCCTAAATATAATCACCTTGCTCCGTATAATGTTACTCGTATGTTGTTTCAGGACTGTTTTGGTACTGACTGACAACCAATTGGTGTGCTCTTCTATAACCATGACTTCACCATCACTGAGTAGTTAGCTGGGTTTTCAGTACCTGGCATGGTTTTCCTCTTGTTGAGTGGGTCTTAACTCCAATTAGAGAGTATTTTTATTTATAGTACAACAGTCCACTGTATTTAAAGGATTGTCTTCCACTTACATATCATCTGGAAATTTATAAAATGGCTCTGTTTGGGGTTTTTTTTTAACTTTGCTGACTTTAATTATATACTGTTTTCCTGTTTGTTTGCTTATGTATTTGTTTGGGTTTTTTGTTACTGGTGAGATAACCTTACTATGTAGCCATGTAGCCCAGGCTGACCTCAAATCTGAGATCCTCTCGACTCAGCCTTCTGAGTGCTGGATTTCAGGCGTTCACCCTGTCTTAGTTAGGGTCACTCTTGCTGTCATGAAACACCATGACCAAAGCACCTTGAGGAGGAAAGTTTATTTGGCTTACATGTCATAGTGCATTGAGGGAAGCCATGGCAGGAACTCAATCAGAGCAAAAACCTGGAGGTGAGAGCTGATGGAGAGGCCATGGAAGGATGCTGCTTATAGGCTTGCTCAGCCCACTTTTTTATAGAATCAAGGACCACCAGCCCAGGGGTGGTACCACCCACAATGGACTCGGCCCTCCCTCAGTAATCACTAATTAAGAAAATGCCCTATATGGCTTACCTGCAGCCCAATCTTATGGAGGTTTTTTTTTGTTTTGTTTTGTTTGTTTGTTTGTTTTTGTTTTTTTTCCTAGTTGAGGTTCTTTCCTCTCAGGTGAAGTTTACATAAAACTGTCCAGCAGACCCCACATCCCCCACTGTTTTCCTTCTTCTACTTTTTCTAGGTCAGTCTGTTTTCTCACACCCTATGACCACCCCCCACCCCTTGGTCACTCCAGTTCTAATTACCCTAAAGACCAAACGCAGTCCCCAGCAGTGACCTTCAAGCTGAACTGGAGACCATGCAGCATATTTGGACGAAGACAGAGCTATTACCATTTTTGCCAAGTGACTTTGTTGAGGTAGCAAGCACTAAGTGTATTGATCCAAATACTGTTACTGAAATATTAGTCTAAATGAGCGTGCATGTTTTAACTGGGGTCAGAGGAGCATGCAGAGTGAGACACAGAACACTGCGACTTCAGAAGCTTTGCATGTGGCATCGGCAGCTTGTTCTCATTTAAATGACTTCACAAACCATTTCCTCAAATAGCTACAAAGTCAATTTCAGCATATATGGGATTATCACAGATTTCTACACTTGATGATGAATTAATGAAGCTGAATTTTCTTTTGCAATCTGCATTCCTAGATATAACCAATGGCGGTGGGAATTTTGTTGTTGTTGTTGTTTTGTTTTACTTTTTTAAAATTTCATTTGAAGGTTTGTGGTTCAATACACAGCAACATTTTAAAACTGGAACCAATGAATAAGGCTCCAAAAATGTCTGAAAATAAATTATTTAAATTTAGCACCAAGTATATACATTTAACATTCAGAGTTTTTACTCTGCATTTCCTGCCAGCAAATTGTCTTACCAGGAAGAGAGAGAGAGAGAGAGAGAGAGAGAGAGAGAGAGAGAGAGAGAGAGAGAGAGAGCTGGCAGGGGCCTCACAGAAGCAGAAGTTAGTAGTACACACTAAAGCCTACACAAATTTATAACTACTGTTTGGGGGCTCCACGTCTCTCCCTGCGATTTTGGCTTTTAAGCACGCACACACAATTATTCATAGCACGCATGGCCATGCGGACCATCCCCCAGCATGCACACTCATGCATCTCATGTCACATGGGCTGGCTTGCTGCACATGTGTCATTAATTGTCAAGAATGCTGCTCAGAGTTGGCTGATCGGAAGATAGGCAGCGCAAAGGAACAGGATTTGAGACAGCCCAGGGTTTCCTCTTCAAGTAGGTTTAAAACATTTCTCTCTCTCTCTCTCTCTCTCTCACTAACTTCCTTCCTGTTCTAACTGCCAGTACTCAGAAGTCAGAGTAGAGAGGCAGAGGTACCCGACAGAGACGCCTGAATGTAAGTTGAATGCCTGAGGTGGGGGAGGCTGCAGGTGGGCGCGGAGCCATGCAGGAAATCTCAGAGCCAAGCTCCGGCCCCTGCTAAGGAGCTGTTGCTGTTTTTCAGACGGGTGTTTCTTTAAACCAAACTTCACGATAAGAAAGTGCTAAAGAGATTGTTGGAGCAGAAAAGGGGAAGTCAGAGCTGGGAATGGTAGACTAGCTGGAGGAGGTAGGGCCGAGGACCCTGCTACCAGAATGTTCTAGAGAAGGGCTTTGGGAATACCTGGAAGGGGGGGTGGGCACTGGGCTGTTTCCTTTTGCATGGCAGGAGCTGGAATCTGGCCAAGCTCAGGAACAGAAAAACTGTACCTCTGCGCTGTGTTGGTGGATGATGGGCTGTGCTGGGGTGGGGCTGTACCGTTTCCTGTTTTTAAGCACACTTTAAAGAGACTATTTGAAAAGAGAAAAAAAAAATGTGTTTCAGAGCTGTCAAATACTAAGCCATTAGCGAGAGCGGAGGATTAAATTCCTGCAGTGGGATGGGCAGAAAGATATTCGCAGTTACTGCCCAAAACAAAACAGCCCTTCCCATCAGGGAGAGCCGAAGCAAACCCGGAAGATGCGGGGAAGGTTGTTAGAGAGACAGGCTAGGAGACTCGAAGTGGGCTCAACTGTGAGCAGGGTCAGTGGGCCGCCAGGCTGGCCTGGCTGAACTTTGGCCTCATTAGAAGTGCTTTAGGGATGACTTGACATGCTCTCCTCTCTTATCACTTTGCAGGCAGCCTGTCCTAAAGTCCCCATCTGGGGTAAGTGGTGACATAGGTCTGAGAAACCCTGAGCAGTTTTCCCCTGAAACTGAGGGAGGTAGACTGCACTGGCAGGCAGGTCCCCTGAGCGTCCTTTCACAGAGACACCAAGAGCCTGCCGAAGTCAGGGTGGGCACATTGAGAAGTTCACGCACATGAGAACTCCAGAAGAGATCAGTGGCGGCCTGCTGGCTGGAAATTTGTCACCAGCAGGTGTCAATCATCTTCTCGTTTCTTTCTGTGGAAAGAGTGGATTCCTGCCAGTTTCAAATATAGCACAAGTTTGGAGACAAAACCAGCTTATTCCTGTGTGAGACCTGTGGGTTTCTGATAGAACAGTGATCCATGCTCCATCCACCCTGCCCAGATTCAGCCGGTGAGGAACAACCATGGGTAGCCAGCCTAAACCTCATGGGCATCTTCCAGCCCTTGGAATTTGGTCCCTCACCATTTGCGGGAGCACGGGTCTGTCCCTAGGGAGACGTGCTTTGAGCAGTCTCTCAGTTTGGTTTTCACTGGAATCTCAGAAAAAGAGAGTTATTCTGAGGGGAATTTATGGGAATACAAGATGTGACGAACTTCAGCTAGCAGGAAGGGAGAAGCCCTGTGAGGTGAAAAGCAAGCAGAGAGAAGACAGCCGGCCTTGGCTCAGAGTCTTCTCTGTGCCAAGCTGCTTGGTATTGAGAGACTCAAGATTTTCATACTGAGCGATGGAGAAGGTTATTATTAAGAACCAGAAGTGTTCTGTAGTTTGACTGAAGTCATGTAGCTGGTACAATAAAAGAACCGATGCCCATGGAAGAAATTCTCTCTCCCACCCCCCACCCCCACCATGCGGAGTGCCTTTGTTTGTAGGGCGGCATCGCTGCTCTGTTAGGGACTGTGTTGGTGGATGGTGAGCTGGAGTCTCATAGACTCTACAGTGGTAGGTCCCAGGTCTTGCTGGCTTCTGGAACATCGGCACTTTCATCCATACAATAAGCTCTTACCAATTTGTTCTTTATTGATAACACTCTGATTTCCTCCGCCAAAGCTGGTTAAAGCTCCACCAGGTCTTCCTTCGGGGGTCTGATAACCTGAATTCAACCGGTCCTGAAACTGTCTATGACTTCTAACGCTTCATTCATTTAAAACCTTGGTGACTATGTTGAGTTACTTGGGTCTGGTTTTTTGATTAGTCATGGCTTCCAGAGCACAGCTGCCTTTGAAGATTACTTTAAAGTATTATTTGTGAAAGAAGAGTGTCACATGGTGGGCAGTTGGAGAAGCACTGTAATTCTTATCTCCTTCTGCACCAAAAACCAGGGCTGGAAGAGCACGATAGGAATGCAGAGGCGGGGACAACAGACTGTTTCTCTGAGGAAGGGAAAGGTGAAATTCCTTTCTGGGAAGTAGCGGCGCACACCTTTAATCCTAGCATTTGGGAGGCAGAGGTTTCTCTGTGAGTTCTAGGTCTGCCAGGGCTACATAGTGGGATCCTGTCTTTAGAAAACAAAAGGGGGGAAGGGTTGAAAATAGAAAGATAGAGAATTCTGTTTCTAGAACTATGTCCTCTTCTGGACAGATCACAACCTTCATTGCATCATACAAGATGGGTCCCTCTCAGTCACTACCTTGGATCTTCTCATCCAGTTTTAGAGCTTGGACTGCCTATGCAGCTGACTTGGTAGAGAG